ATTTATTTGCGTATATGTATATATAACTGTGATATAACTTTGCGATGTAGATACACACAACGCCTTGCTCGATAGTTATCGTTTACTTCCAGCAACGCGAATTTGCTTCGAAATCAAATAGAAAGAAATTTTCTTCCTAACGTCATCTATGTATTATATATAGAATTATTATATGTATAGAACATTTTTACTTGTACAATATACTTTAAATATCTCCTATATAATATTATATGTTATATACACAGTACGTACATAATACGATATAATATTATATAACTTCGCTATGATACAATACAAGTTAAATTATATACGCAGGAAACAAACGTAGCGAAGTATTAGAATCTTGTCCCGTGGAATTATCAGCGATCTACGGTATCTATTGAGAATAGAAGAAAGGTTCGTTGTATCGTGGCAACACGAAAGAATATCGAACACAGGATATAATAATATAAAGTACTTTATATGTCACAATGTTAAAATTTAACAGAAGCTGTAGTTCACAAAATATTTCATCGAAAATAATTGAACCTTCTAATTAACTACGAAAACATATCATAATATTTGTCTTGGCAAATTGTTTTATGCAATATAATACAAAGCCATCTAGGTACATTTTTATGCTCTTAAACGTTACTGACGAACTTACCGACGCATACCGTTAACATTATCACGTCTACATCTAAAACAGGGAACAACATTCCGATACTTCACCACGACAAACTCTGTCGTTGCGACTTTCGGACAGTTGCAATAACTGCAACACATGTATGTACACATCACCGTAGAAAAATCTACAATAATCAACCGATTTCGAAAGATCAAGCAAACACCCTTAATTTTCCTCGAATATGCTCTAATAAAACAATCTTACCCACGTGAACCACGGTGCAACGATCTCCCGCGAGAAACAGTTTCCCCCATTATCGATAACCATCGGCAAGTGATACGTTGTTAATTTATCGACCGTTACGCTAAGATCGTTATTAATAAAGGCCAGCTCATAGAAACGAAATTATCAATGCGAATATATATTTATATATGTATGTATTATTTATACGTATTATTATATGTATATATATATGCATAAACTTTCACATATTTATACATATAACCATCTTATTATCACGAGATAGAATTTTCGTCCTTACTACGAATAATGAAAAACGAAAAAACTGCCATCACCTGCACCGTAAAGATACGCTTAAGGATACGTACCTAGAGTTTCTACGCTGCTTTGACTCGAGTATGCACACTTATCAAGGTCGAGGTTATTTAGGTACGGTTTGCGTTACGAGTTTCAGGACAGGAGTGTGGGTAAAAACTTGAAAGTTCAGGCACTGTAAACTCAAAGCACTCGCGACGATTTCGAAGGACGCGACGAACGAATAGCGTCGACGGCTCGACGGTTCCTCGACGAAGTATCGCGCATTACTATCGCCGCGGACCAATCCGAGCCCGCTGGCGTCGGTCGTCGTGACCTTGGCTTCGCCGGAAATCGTCGAATTTTTCGAATCGCGCGCCTTGTCGTCGACAACGGTGTTTACACGCTCGTTTCCTCACGACGCCTCTGAGTATTGACGAGTAGGTACAAACATGCTGTGGACACGTAAAATTTAACGAGCCTCTCAAACTCGAGCCTCACTCGCCATTTTCTTCGTCGGAAAACGAATTTAAACGGATTTAAATTAGGATAGAATCGTGATCGTCTTTTTCTTTCCTTTTCCTTCCTAATGTAATTATTTTTCCTTTCAATGGGATATGCGAGATTGTGACTAAAAATTAATCGACTCGTGGAAACGGAAGCAAATGGATTTTACGTCTCGTTTGCCACGGTGACGGATGCGGATAAAAAGAAAGATCGATCAACCTGTCTCGGTGAAAATGAATTTCGAAGGACTCGTAAAGCTTTACGTGCGAGTCACTGGCACATGATAGTAATTGATACGCATACGTATATACATGATATGCATAGGAATGTAGGGCTACGTATTACCTAAATATTGCACGATTTTCCACGACGAATCAAACGAACGAGATTCGAACGGAAGTGTCTCTACATACAAAACTAAGCTCATGAAAATACAGATATGTAGCATGTATTCCACCATGAGATATGATCAGTACTGCCCTATCGTTGGTATCGTTGACAAAGTACTAAAAATCGGCTAACTCAGCTAACTAAGTAAGTCTCTTCGATCCTCGTTAAAATTATAAATTATAAATATCAAACTGTATAAAATTCCTGATCGTTACCATTAATGATTACTCAGCGAACGATGAATTTAGCCTGCCGATACAACTCAACGTTGCTCTGCCTTTTCAGTGTTCATTTCAGCGTTTAATTCGGATTACTAATGAAAATAGCTTTTGACTAGCAACGATAGTAAATTAAATCAATCAACGATGATAAGTTATTACGAGTTCAGAGTCGCAACGTACTTTGCCAATGTCGTAACACACCACGGCTGAAGGAGGACTCGCCTCTTCCTGGCCGTACACGTTATCTATACAATTACCTACATGAAAGCTTCGATAGCTACTAATTTCACGCCTTAATTAGTGATATGATACTTCAGTTCAGCAATGAAACGCAAACGAAACGGATAAAAACGAAAAATTTGCCGATTTCCATGGCAAGACGCGAACGAAGGTCCTTGCTGAGGGGAAGCCTCCGGTCGCGATTATGTTCTTTCCAGCTTCATCCACGTGTTACAGATAACCTCGTCTCTTTGGAGCATCCTCCGTATCGACATCCCTCGTTCTCTGCCATATTTTCTCTCATCGAAATCTCACTTCCGATCTGCCGATACGAATATGCTATTCCAAACGCTCTTTCCAAGGTCACATGTTCCAATCGCGAGATTTCTTCCGATTTTATGTTTCTCGTAATTATTCTTTCCTTTTTTGATACGTTCTCCGATTTCTTCGCAGAATCTTCTTATTTTCCGATATTTGTTTTATGCTTTCGGCTTTTCGTTCGTACAATGACTGCTATTTTCCCGCGATGACTTTGATAACTCGTGACTTTATATACCTAACGAGTTACATTTAAAGTTCTCGAGTCCTCGTATGTCTCGTATTTATCGCGAGTAAAGCAAATGTAGAATTATTAAGATTTCACACTGATATTATCAATTACAACGCGATGACGCTACATGCACCTTTCAATTTAATCCACTGAACGACGTTCGTTTGGTAAATAGGAGGAAATCGAATTCACGAAGATTTGCTATATAATTAAACAATCGGGAATTTATATAAAATTAATCTTCGTTTATATAGGAAAATTTCGAATGAAGGTGATTTGATTCGAATCAAGAGAAGGAATCACATAGCTATAGCAAAATATCAGAAAGCATGGCAATTCATAGGTTAAATATCAATCGCGTTATTTCACGATCTAAGAACACTAATTATGAAATTTTCCCATTATCATATCCTCGACTGTTTCGAGTTTCCAATGAAGAAACGATCGCTTCTCGAACATAAGACACTAATCTATAAAATCGATGAAATTTCTCAACACTACCACTTCGAATGATCCCAAGACCATCGTTGAATGTTGTACGAGCATAGAACTTCGCGATGTGGTACCGTAAGATATACCTCTGGAATATCGGAGTAATCGTTCTGGAAGTCGCCATGGCCTCGCCCGATAATTCGTAGCCACATGACAACGCTGGACGTGAATGCACTTCATAAATCACCGAAAGAGAACGAACGTTGCCATTGCCATAATTGCCAGAGGATCGTCGATACGCATGCGACGGTAATATTCTTGACAACTGGAAGCCTATCTCGAAGACTATTTCGCGATATTCGTGACGCGAAACTAGCGTCGTG